TGGAACTTGAAAACGCAGGACCCGAGGACCCGAGGCCTCCACCCGCCCAGGTCACTCTGACAGCACCATGAGCCACAGCTTCCCACCACCCCAGGAGGCGGGTGTGACGCTGGACTCCCAGACGCTCCATGTCAAAGGGCTTCAGCACACCTGAAGTTTTGCCTCTCCGTCTTGTGGGAAGCATGCTCGTGGCCCCCCTCTCTCCCTGACCCTCTGCTTCCGGCTCCGTGGCCTCGGCCATCTGCAGAACAGCCGGACACTGAAACAGTGGCAACGTGAGCCTCGCCCCACATGTGGGCTGTGAACGGAGTACAGTCAGTCAGTCTCCCCGTGTCCTAGTTTCCTTCCTGTTGCTGTGCTAATTACCTGACAAAAAGCAACATGGGTGGGGAGGGAGGGTGGAGAAAAGGGTTTATTTGGCTTTCGGTTCCATATTACAGTTCATCATTTTGGGGGAAATCGAGGCAGGATCTCAAAGAGGCTGCTCACATCACATCCAAGAGCAAAGAGCAAAGAGAATAGAGAATAAACGCGGCATTGCTTGCTTGGTTCTTCTCTCTCTCTGTCTCTCTCTCTCTGTCTCTGTCTCTGTCTCTGTCTCTCTCTCTCTCTCTCTCTGCCAGCTTTCACCTCTGATATTCAGAACCCCTACATAGGGAACGGTGCTGCCCATAAGGGCTTCCTTTTTCTCCCGGGATGAGCTTTGTCTTCCGTTCTCTTCACAGGGTGTTTTTCAGAACAGAAGTTTTCTTTTTATAATGGTGTAAACATTCACTAAGTTTCCCTTCTCTCGAATATGCTTTTGGTGCCAAGTCTAGGGACTTGCCATCAAACTCTGGGTCCTCAGGAGTTTATCCTAAAAGCTTTATATTTTACTTATTATGTTCTAGATCTAAGTGCACAGTCTATTTCTAGATGGATTTTCTACATCGTGATGTTTAGGTTGGGATTTGGGGCTCCTTCTTCTTGGCAGGCACAGGAAAGGCTTGACTCAGTGGCTATGAGCTCTCCCTACTCTTACAGGGGACCCATGTTTGGTTCCCAGCACCCACATCAGATGACTCATAATCACCTGTAACAGCTCCAGGGGACCTGTACTAGCTGGTTTTTATGTCAATCTTACATAAAAAAAAAAAAGAAAGTCACCAGAGAGGAGCCTCAGCTGAAAAATGTCCCCGTAAGACCAGTCTGTGGGCATTTTCTTAATTAGTGATCAATGGGGGAAGACCCAGCCTATGGTGGGCAGTGGTCCTGGGTTCTATAAGACAGCAGTCTGAGCAAGTCAGTAAGCAGCTCCCCTCCATGGCCTCTGCATCAGCTCCTGTCTCCAGGTTCCTGCCTTCCTTGAGTTCCTGTCCTAACTTCCTTTGATCATGGATACAGTGTGAAGTGTAATATGAAATAAATCTCTTCCTTCCCAAATTCTATCCCAGCAATAAAACCAAGACCAAATGACAACTAAGATGGGATCCAACACCCTCTTCTGGACTCCATGGGACCTACACTCTCAAGCACATATCTCCTCAAACATATACATAGTACCCATAATTTTAAAAAATAGATCTCTTAAAATTACAATATAATTACCTCACTCACCTACTTCCTAAATGTTTAAAGAAAAAAAGATCAATAAAATGTATGACTTTCGTGTCATCTTTTTTTCTTTCTTAGAAACTCCTCTGCATGGCAGATGCTGATGGCTGCAACACCTGAAGTTCCAGGGACTCCAAGTAGACAGGGGAGTCACATAGCTAGATTTTATAAAAGTCCAAGCCTCAGAGATAAATTCCCAGAAAGGCGGAAGAGGTGAGGAAATCCCACGATGTGGCTAATCCCACCTCCCTAAGCCACTGAGCTGTTCTGATGCTGCTGAGGGCCCTGTCGTGCCTTGACCACAGTGGTGTGAAACTATCTGTCGCACCTGCTGAGCAGCCTGCATCCGAGAATGTAGCGAGGTGGTCGAGATAGATGACATAGAGACCGGTCGGTTGCTTTAAGAAAACTTTATGCTCCCCAAGTCGGCTTAGGAGAACTCCCCAAGAAAAAATGCTTCCCTATTTAAGGACTTCTGCCATCCATACACACACAATTCTCCAACCGAGCTCTCACACACCTCTCACAGCTCTCCCAGACTTCTCACCCTCCTGGCTGGTGGTTTAATCTCCAGCCCCACAATCGGGGAGAAACAGCAGGGAGCAGGAAGAAGCATCTAGCCTTAGGGGGTGTCAAAGTCATGGTGTTCCAGTGAGCGAGCCCTTATCTGAGCCCTATCAAGAGCTTTATAGCACTGAATTGTTTTCAGTAAACATTATCTCACAGCTGCCTGCTCCCAGGCCTAAGGGGAAATGGGTTTCTGTTCAAGGTCTGGTGTCCCCACAACTACCCTTCCCCAGCTTCCAGTAAGAGTATCAGGCAACTTTAGGGGCTCAGTGTGGGTATTTTCCTCAACTCTCTGTCTGGTATTCTTTGGTTTTCCCAGGAGAATTTAAGTCAAGTCTCCTTTGAAGATTTCACTTGGGCCTGTAGCCCAGTCCATTCGGGTCTGAGGCAGAGTTTGAACCCTTTGCTTCACGATGGTCCCTGCAGTTTCCTCTTACTGAGTGCCCGTCTGTGGCCCACTGCACCCTAACACTCTCCTGGGAGCACTTAGAAGGTGGTCCATTTTCTACTCAAGTCTGTGTGAGAAAGGACAGGCTCCTTGGAACAAAACGTTCTTGGACTCTAGGGACAAAGCTAAGACTTCTAGATCAAGATCTAATGTCTAATGTCAGAATGTCAAACTGTTGGTCTAACGTCTCAAAAGGCAAGACACTGGTTCTTCATGGTGCCTGCTCAGGTCAGCTCCCCACTTCCTTGAAGAGGCCTAAACATCTCCTGCACAAGAACCTTGAGTCGGCACTGTGATCTCCCCCAGGTAAGCAAAAGAAGGTCCCAGGCTGAAGTCTTGTCACAAAACAGCCTCTCCTAGCTGTTTCCAAAACAAGCCAGGAGGCGGCCGTAATTACATTGCCATAAACACACCGCAGTTAATAAGTGACATAAATTACCATATAAATGTTGAGCTGTGAGCCCAAAACTTGACAGGACCTTTCGGATCCAGCAGATCTTGGCATACAACAGGGCTCACAGATCTCTTGAGAAAGCTATTTACTCTGTAACCGCATTGTTCTTCACCGGGGATGAGGGGTCCTTCCGGGTCCATTAAATGCCTTCAAAAGAAACCAGGACACGATGGAAAGGTTTGGGAGCAAGACAGGAGGCACAAAGGGGTTTTGTAAACTGTGGGTTCTAGTACGCTGGCCTTGCCCTTGAGATCCAAACACCAGACAACCTGAAACCACGTGACTTGGTGGATGCTGCCTGGGCTGTTGGGGTTGACGGCTGATTGTGGGCTCTTGTGAGACTGGATGGTGTGGACTTCAAACTAAATCCCTGTCGCAGCCTGGTCCACAGTGTCCCAGGGAACTCTCTAGGTTAGATTTCAGACTTTTTCTGATCCTCACAATTCCCCCTTCTTTATTTAAAAGTATGTTTTAAAATTTTTTTACTGATGTGTGTGTGTACAATGTGTGTACAGTGTGTATGTGTGTACAATGTGTGTATGTGTACAATGTGTGTATGTGTACAAGATGTATTGTGTACAATGTATATGTGTACAATATGCATGTGTGTACAATGTGTGTCTATGTACAATGTGTATTGTACAATGTGAATGTGTGTATAATGTGTGTACATGCACGTACGTGTGTGTGTGTGTGTGTGTGTGTGTGTGTGTGTGTGTGTGTGTGTGTGTGAGACCATGGAAGTCAAAGGACAACTGTGTGTAGCTGATTGGCCTGTTCCATACTCACATGAGTTCTGGGGATCAAACTTAGGTCACAAAGCCTGCACAGTAAGAGATTTCATCTGGCCTGTTTTTATCTCTTTAAATGCTTTATTTCTCTATTTGAAGTAAAAATTCATGTAATACAAAATTAGCCTTAAAAGGTCCAGTTTAGTGCCTTTGTATAAACCTAGTTCCAAAACATCTTTATTGCCCCCAAAGAAAGCTCTCCCCCTTGAGGCAATCAATCCCCATTTGTCCCCCACTCCTTAGTAACCACCAACCAGCTTTCTATCTCTGGAGTGACACATTCCAGGTGTTTAAAATAATGGACTCATACATTAGAGCTTCATGTACGTAGAACAGCGGTTCTCCATCTGTGGGTCGTGACCTTGGGCAACCACATTTCGGATGATCTTAGGAATGAGATACTGCTCAGCAGCAAGATTACAGTTATGAAGTAACAAGGAAAATAATTTTATGGTTAGGGGTCATCACACCATGAGGAACTGTATTAAGGATGACTGACTCAGAAGAATGTTTAAAACTTCAGCCATGTTGATAGTCACTCCTTGTGAAGGCTGAATAATATTTCACTATATGGATCATATTTTGTTATCCATCCCTTAATGGATGTTTGGATTACTAAACCTGTGGCTTCTATGTATAGTGCTATCATGAATACTTACGGATAAGCTTTTGCTTGAATACGTTTTAGTTAGTTTGACTGTAAGTCAACAATTAATTAGCCAAGTCAAAGAGTAATCCTGTGTTTAACTTCCTAAAAGGCTACCGAAGTGCTTTTTTTCTTGTTTTCGTGTGTAGTTGTATCTTCACTTAAAATCATGTCTCTGCATGGGCAGTGTGCGGTTTTCAGTGTGCCTTGATACATGAAAATTTGCAACTGATGAGGACTCGTTTCTCAGTTGATCTCCTGACCACTGGCAGGGGAGTCATCCAAGGATGGATTTCATAACTGTGAGTGATTTCCCAGCCCATGCCCATCAACCAGGCTCTCCCAGAAAGAGAGGACATGTCAAGAGACTAGACATATAAATATTACCTCCTGACCTGGCTCACCAACTGCTATTTGCAGATATTGAGGTTTGATGGCTACCTCCAAAGGGCCACCAGGTTCTTAGTCCCTGGAACAAGGAATTGGACAGAGACACATGGCTAAGAGCAAGAAAAGGAAGACATTTTATTTCCAAGAGAGGAAGTAGCCCAGAGCGTAGACAAAGGTCTTAAAGTATTATTTTACAGTGTTTTTTTACATTATTATTATTGCCACAGGCAACAATACTGACCCTTAGACTCTGGAGGAGGAAGGAACAGTCCCTTAACTTGGCAGATTCAGAAGGATTCCCGCTGACAGGGGACTTGGCAGGGTGGCTTCCCCACCCAGGCGCTGAGGAGAGAGAGAGAGGCAGACATGGAACAGGACAAATGAGGGCCACTCTGGAACGCCTTCAGGGCGGCAGTGTACTGGTGTGACAGTGCGAGCATGAAGATTGAGCGAGGAGGCCAGAGGAGCAGAATCTAGAGTCCTCCCTTCTTCACCCACCCAATCAGAAGTCCTCCACCCTCCTCTGAGCAGAAGGTAGCAAACAAACAAAAGCAGCCTCAAAGAATTTCAAATTAAAGAGGTTGGGCCCCAGGCTTATTCACCTCCCTCTTGGGAAGGCATCTTCCCTGGGGGAGCCCCCGAGCCCCCAGAAACACCCATCCAGCGTCGGGGTGCATGGCAGGACGCAGACAAGACAGCTTAGAGAAGTAGGTAACAAGACTGTACCTGGCTTCCTCCAGGCCAGACCCTGACTGGATTGGATTTGAAGGAAATATTTGCACTAAAGAGATTAAGTGGAAAGAAGATTTCAACACCTCTTATCTATCATGGTTTAGGAAAAAAAACCAACATTGCGTGGCTAAGCGACCCTGTGGCGCCTGTGTCTGTGGCCGGCTTCTCGGGGAGCTGTCTTTTCCCAGAGGCGCATCTCCGTTTGCTTTGCTCTGTTTGCTTCCTCTGGGACTCTGAGAGGAAAACAAGATTCTCATGGACATCCCACGTGCCTGGTATGGATCCCTAAGCGTTCCAAGTACTTCAGAGCTCTCCAGACTTGGGGATGGCATTGCTTTATGGTCTGTGTGATGGTGGTTCGGGAACTCTAGCCCTGCAGGCAAAATGTGGTGAGTCTCTCAGCTGGGAAGAGCTCTAGAGGCCGTGCAAGACCCAGACCCGTCAGCCAGCACAGCCGCACAGCCGCACAGCCACACAGCCAGCACAGCCGCACAGACGCACAGACGCACAGACGCACAGCGGCACAGCCAGCACAGCCAGCACAGCCGCACAGCCAGCACAGCCGCACAGCCAGCACAGACGCACAGCCAGCACAGACGCACAGACGCACAGACGCACAGACGCACAGCCAGCACAGCCGCACAGCCGCACAGCCAGCACAGACGCACAGCCAGCACAGACGCACAGACGCACAGCCAGCACAGGCGCACAGCCCACCAGCAGAAAAGCGTGCATTCGGACTGTTCACACTTGATCCTACCCCTATGTACTCCCTGCTCTCCCCAATCGTTTCTCTAGCCCATCTTTGTACCCACGCTCCACCCCAGGTCTGCAGCAGAAGATTCCTGCCTCAACTCCCTACCGCTAGGTGTGTATTGCACACTGTGGCAGAATTCTGTCAGGCCCAACACTTCTCTCCAAAGAGCCACAAGCAAGAGCGAGTGTTTCTATGCCCACCCTCCCCCGCCCCTGCACATCCGTCCGCCTCCCCCATCAACCAGGTCTGCTCTCCAGCTCCTCCATGCTCTCTAAACTCTTGCTGCATGACTGGCAAACTCTACAGCCTGTGCTGTTTCTCTGAGCATTCCCTCCAGCTATGCTTTGTGATTCTCAACCCTTGCTGCATCACAGCCTCCTGAGGAAGAGTATGCTCCTGTGTGTGTGTGCATGCGAGTGTGCGTGTGTGCTGTATATAAATGTTTGTATAGGTGTGTGGGTGTGTGTACATGTGCATATGGAGAGAGACAAGAGATTGATATTAGATGTCTTCCTCCATCACTGCCCAAATTACCACCATCATCATTGCCATTGTCATCACCATCATCATCACCACCATCACCATCATCAATGCCATTGTCATCACCATTACCACCATCACCATCATCATCACGATCAACATTATCATTGTCATCACTATCACCATCATCGTCATCACCACCATCATCATTGGAGACGGGATGCCTCACTGAGACAGAAGCTCATTATTTAATTAGATCAGCTACCCAGGGACCCTCCTGTGTCTTCTGCCCCAGCACTAGGGTTACACGCATGCACACACACGCACACACACACGCACGCACGCACACACACACACACACACACACACACACACACACACACACTGCTGCTCCCAGCCTTTTACACGGGTTCTGAGGATCCAAACTCAGGTTCTCATGCTTGCACAGGAGGAAGTTTACTCACTGAGCTGTCACAGGCTTAGAGATAAATTATCTCTATTCTTAAAAGAAGGAAAAGTAAGAGGGAGGAAAAGAAAGGAGGGGCTGGGGGAGAATGGGGAGGGGAGGAAAGGGGGGAGTGAAATGAAGGGAGGGGATGGCCGTGTCTGTACCTCTGTGCCTGAGACTGCTGGCACCACCTCAGACACTCTGAAACGTGCTCTCCCGTTGGCTCCTCCATGCCCTCTTCCTGGCTCCCCGTCGTCACTTCCCTGAGGGTTTCCCTGCTCCATCACAATGTGTTGGGCTGTTTGAAGTTCTCCCAGGTCCTCTCTCTTCCTGATTTAACCCGCCCTGTACTCCCTCTGCTGCCATTACTACAGAACCACGGGAGTTCTGCACAGACATGAACTCTGCGTGCATGGCTTCTCTCTTGACTTTTAAGGGCATCCTGTGCTGACATGGCGGTCAGCGCTTCCATCCACCGTCAGCCAGCCAGAAATGAGACCAGGGTTCGAGGGATGCAGGCTTCGATTCCCTCTATACTCAAAAGATAGAGAGTAAATAATGAGAAGAAAATTAGCAAAATTGGACCAGCAAAAAGTGGCAGTTTTTTGTCAAATAAAAAAATGTTTTTCAATCCACCACCTGTCTCCATAATTACATAAAAGAAAGGGCATTTTAAATTGGAGATGCTAAAATTGGAGATGACATATTCTCAAATAGAGAAAAGTCTTTAAAGTGAATTTAGGTTTAGGGAGGAGATACTACACCATCTCTGTGCTACCCAAGCACCCGTCGCCTGGTTGGCCACGCTTGATGGCGGCTGAGAGTGTCATCTGCATCTTTATTTATCAAAGTGGCTGACTTAGGATCTGTTGCTTCCTGTGTTGTTAGACTCTGGAATAAGACCAGAAGAGTTCATCTGCGCTTACAGCTCCACAGGGACTAGAGTCCAGTATGGTATGGCAGCCGACACAGGAAGCCGGGAACTCAAGGCTTCAGTTACAAGCAGAAGGAGCAAACTGGAAGTGAAGAGAAGTTGTGTCTCTCAAAGCCCGCCTCCATGACCTCCTTCCTGCAGGAAAGCCACACCTCCTGAACCTCTCCAAACAGCACCACACCCAGTACAGACACCGGGTCATTTCTCACTCAGACAACCACAGAACCCACTGGGCACTAGCTGGGAGTCCGTCCCCTCACTCTCTTTCTGTTTCAAGATGCCCCTAGAGGGCGGGGTCTTGTGCAGTGAGGCTCAGTGCCGTAGCCACTTCTCCCAACCCTCCACAGGCCCTCACACCACGCCGCGTTCTCCAGAAAGGTTGTGTGTCCTCCATTGGTACCCACGCAGGGAAGGAACCTCCCTAGCCAACAGGGTCCCCTCCTTCTGCTTCCTGTGTCCTCTGTGGAGAACACACCCCTGACAGACCTGCTCTGGGGACCCTCTGAGACAGGCTACACATTCTTCATCCCACAGTAGCCACATGGACCAGGAGAGGACTCTGTGTGCTTTGTCTGATTGGGTAACGAGTCCCTACCACAGGTGATGTCCCCTTTTCTCATTGCTCGGATTCCATCCAGCCTGCTCCTCCCTGTTTCTCTAGACCGGGGAACATAGTGTAACAGGGACCGCCGGCCCTCAGTTACCCACAGACCCAAGGGACTGACAGGAACCTGAAGAGTTGTGGGTCTCCTGCCATCTCATACCCCTAGCTGCAGGCTGGAGAGGAGGAGGAAGATCTTTCTGTACCGCTGTTATGAGTGTGCGAGCATGTGTGTGTGTGTGCCTACATGGGTACATATGTGTGCATGTGTGCAGGCTCTCATGACTATACATGAATGGGAATGCCAGAGGTAAATCCTGGGTGTCATGCCTTAGGAGTCATGCAACTTAGGTGGGCTTTGGTTTTTGTTTTTTAAATAATTATATATTTTTATTTTCTCTGTGTGTTTTACCTAGACGTGTGTATGTGTATTGAATACGTGCCCGGTGCCCACAGAGGCCAGAGTTCCCGATGGTTGTAAATTGGGTGCTGGGACTCGAACCCAGGTCCTCTGCACGAGCAGCCAGTGCTCTTGACTGTGGAGTCTTTTCTCTCCAGTCACTCGGCTTACTTTTTAAGGTAGGATCTCTCACTAACCTGGAACTCTCCACGCAGGCTGGGCTGACTGGCCAGAGCTCCAGGATTGCCAGAGTGAGCCACCACACCTGAATCTTTTTTTAACTGTGGTTTCTGGGTACTGAACTCAGGTCCTCATGTCTACATGACAAAGCACTTCACTGGCCAAGCCGCCTCCTGAGCCCACACACCCCTTTCTCTCTCCAAGCTGCAGAGGGTATCCCGAGGGTCCAGGAGCGTTCTCAGGCATGCCTATAGAAAGGGAGCGGGGATGAGAGGTTTCTGTGTCCGGCCTTTGAAAAGGAAATATATCCCTTACACAGAGACGCTCATTGCCTATTCCTGAAATCCCAAAGCTTTTTTTTTTTTCAAGAATCCTATTTTTCCCTGTTCAGACATTGGAGAATTTGACTTCTACAACTGGGTTTCAAGAGAAGGCTCAGAGAGCATAAAATCCAGGTGAAAACTCGTGACAATTGGAGAAACTGAGACCCCAAAAAAACCAGGGGTCACAGCATGAGGTCACACAGTAGCCACCCCCAGGATTTAGGTTGTGTGACCGGATACACTCAGCTAGGTCCTCTGCAGGGCCGACTTGAGAACCTGGAGTCTGGTTTGGAAGGAGAGGTAGCCGAGGTTGGCCTTGCCCCTTGGGGTCTCTGTTGCCGTCCATGCCAAATGGAGTTGATGAGCACAGACATTGCACAGGACATTCTCATGGACAGACTCTTCAAAATCTGTTAAGAAAATGTTCCCTCGTTTATAGAAGAATGCATCCTAGATATGATGCCAGCCCGGGTTTATTTTAGCCAAGAAGAGAAATTAGTGGCAAAAGAACATTTTGGTAATGAATGGGGGAGCTTGTCATGACATTCTTGAGCAGGAAAAGGGAAACAAACTTTTTTTTTTAACCGAGAGCTGTCTCAAAGGAGGGTGCAGGGGATTCACGGTCTTAGCTAGTTTGAAGAGAACTTGGGGTACAGAGTCTGATGTGGGCTTCTGCTGTTCCCATGTACACACAGCACACATGTGCTTTGTGTGTGCATGTGTGTGTCTGTACATGTGTGTGTGTGAATGTGTGTATGTGTGTGTGTGTGTGTGTGCTATCTCCTAAAGCAACCTTAGCTAATGGAAAAATTTTTTAATACTTGGATGTGATTTCAGAACTCTACAGAACACTGCAGTATCTATTTCAAAAGCAACCTGGGAGTATTTGGTGTCCACTCTGGCCTGGTGAATTTCCATTGTGGGCAGTTCCACACGATTCTTTTCATTCCAGCCCGATTCACTTGGAGCGGCATGATTTGATTAAGAATTTCTTCCCTTTTAATTGTGTGCCAAGCCTCCGGGGCATCGTTTGTTGGGTGGCCCTGAGTGGCTGGAATGGGCATCGGAGGGCGAAGGAATCCCTGAAGGTTTGTGCCTGACCTGATCCGCTAGTGAGACCCCGCCTGCTGCCTGGCAATATCTGGCTTATTAGAAACAGGCCTGGCTCAGCTGGCAGGGGACTCTCCTTGGTCCATGGCCAGGAGCATCCAGAGCAAAGAATCTGCCGACCTCCCAGCCTCTGTGGAATGAGGCTCCTCATTGCACCCGCCCCCCCCAGGAATTTACATCCTCAGCTGCCCTCCTGCAAGCTCTACCACCTCAGTGTGGTAGGAGAAGGGTCGGCATCAAAAATCAACAGCTACGTACAGTCTACTCCACTGTAGATAAGGTAATGACACAATCTCGCTGGTGTTGGGAAAGGTGTGAGGGAATCTTATAGGTCAATTCTTACCACTCGGTTACAATCCCACAAGTAGTATTTATAGATGGAGTCCTTGATTATTTTTTTTCATGGCATCTGTTCGCAATGGTTAGCCTCGACTGTCCATTTGACACAACCTGGAATGGCCGAGGGACAGGGTCTTAGTGAGGGCTTGTCTAGATTAGATTGCCCCGTGGACCGGTCTGTTACCTTGATTGCATTAGAGCTGGTGGGAAGACCATTCACGGGAGATGGTGCCCTCCCCTCCCTGGAAAAGTGCATCCTGGGTTGTACGAGAGGAGACAGTGAGCTGGGTACTAGCCAGCGCTCACCCATGCGTTGCTTTGCGCTTGTGACTACGGACACCATGTGAAAAGCTACCTCAGGTCCCCCACAGCAGCAGGCTGCAACCTGGAGCCCCGAGCCAAACAAACCCTCTCTCCCTTAAGTTGCTTTGGCCAGAGAATTTCATCAAAACTCCAGGGAAGGAGGGGAAGACACAATTACCTGACCCTCCCGCAAAGAGACCCCATTTTGGTCAGATATCCAACCCGCCCCACACACTGAGGTCTCACGGAAGGGCCTGGGGGAGGGGCTAAGGAGGCCCCCATTGCCCTGCATTCCCGCAGGATGAGACCAAGACCCAGGCTGGCCTGTAGGACATGACCAAACGCTGCATGTGGGGGGCGGCGGGGCGTGGAGGGCTTCTCTCCCAAGAGACCCTTGCACAGCTGCCCTCATTTCCGGTGCTCCTTCTCAAGGTGATGCCTCCCTAATGAAACCAGCCAGAGAGAGAGGCCAATATCGAGAATTAAGGAACAGAACCAAGGAAAGGCAGAGTTCCACGGAGCTAACTCTTGGAGCATGCCCAGAGCCCGCCATCTTCAAGCTTCTAATTGGCCCCACAGGAGCAGAATAGACAGGGAGAGGTTGCTAACAAGTGCCCTCACAGGACTGGCCTCCAAATCTCCACCCTGAAGTCTCCTTCTTCTCCTCAGTCATGAGCTCTTCCCAACGAATGAACATCTCTCCCCTGGTTAACTGTACCCACTGGGAACCCCCCCCCGCCCCGTGTTCCTTTTGCACATCCTCCAAGTAGTGAGCCCCCCCCCCACGGGGCTCTGAGCTCATGCGAGCATCTCCTAAGCTGTCTTTCTCCACAAATGGGAATCTGAGGGGAGAAGCCATGCAGGATAAGCCATTGCAACCCCTTTCAGAAAGATAGAAAAGCCAAGAGGAAGGGGGATAGGAGGGGTAGGGAGGAGTAAAAAGAAGGTTTCTACCCTGTAGTGGTTGCTTTTCTCATTGCTAAAACAAAAGCCCTCGAGAAAGGGGGGGTTTGCTTTCGCTCGCAGGACCAGGTGCATCATGGCAGCACGGAGTCACGGTGGCCACAGCGTGAGGAGGCTGGCCACATGCATCCACGCTCAGGAAGCAGAGGAGGAGGCTGGCCACCTCAAGTAACACGATCTAGAAGCTTCCTCGTGGACATTCCCGGGGGAGTGTCTTCCACGTGACTGGAGATCTTGTCAAGTTTACAATCACTGCCGGCCGTCAAAACTTTGGTGAGAATTTGCAATAGAGCCCCGGTGCTGGGCAATGTGAAATACTCTCCCTGGGTTTGGCTGCTCTGAACCTGGGAGCTGAGGTATTTTCCAGGATAACCGCTGTGTGCACCGGGATGTTGAGGCCCGCGAGCGACACAAACTCTGACTTGAAGCGGCGGCATCCATAGGGGAAAGTGTTCTCTTACGCAACACAACCCCTTTTGGGACGGCTAAATGAACGGTTCACCGACGGCAACAAGGACCCGGTTCTTCCCACTCTGGTTCCGGTGCGGGCCTCGCTGTGCTCTGCGGGGTGTGGAGACCCATCCAGGGGTGCTAAGCATTCTAATAACGGCCCCGCCAAGCAAGCAGCTCCCTTTGATGCAGTCCTGCTGAGCCGAGATGACTGGGGCGTCAGAAGGCAGCATGATCCGAGGTCCCCCGCAGCGGGAACCACATCCCGGGACACCGCACAGACCCTTGGGAAGGCCAGCAGCCCATGGGGTCGCCGCCCACCAAGGAGGAGGCCCGGTGTGCAGAGGGGAAGGTGTGCCCAGCTCCCTGGGAGTTCGCCTACACCACAGCCTCTACCCCACATCTCCAGGCGGGGAGGTGGGGGGGGGGCAAGCCGGGAGTGCTGGCTCCTGTTTGCAGCCCCAGTGCCTGGGGCGGAGGCGGCAGCGTGCAGCCCAGGCCTTCTTTAAGTGATCGAAGAGTAAGATCCGGCTAACATGGAGGGCAGCCAGGCACCAGGAAAACAGAAGTGCGTGTGAGGAAGAAGCGTGTGTAATGAGGTGTGTGAGGAAGTACATGTGAGGAAGTGTGCGTGCGAGGAAGTGCGTGTGAGGAAGTGTGTTTTCCACGGGGAAGTGCCCTTGTTGCATGGAGAGCAGTGTGGCAAACTGGAAGGTGGGAGACTTTTCCAATCTGCCAATGGAGAGAAAAGAAGTTAAAGAGACATGAACACTGAAACAAAGGAACCAACTAACATGAGGACCCGGGTTCAGTCCCCAGCACCCACATGGCGGCTCACAACTGTCTGTAACTCCAGCTCCAGGGCAACTAATGCCCTCTTCTGGCCTCTGAGGGTACTTCATGCACACGGCACACTCATACATCCAGGAAAAACACTCGCTCACGGAACACATAAAATAAAATTTAAAATTTACAAACCTGGGTTTTTGGCTTTTTCTTTTTCTTTTTGAAGGCTTTACAAAGCACGGGGGTCGCTGACAGATTCAATGGAGCATTAAGTTACATAATAATCAGGAGACAAACCCAGGGAATTTCTTCGTTCCAGTGACCACAGAGCCAGCCTCAACATTTCCAGTCAACAGAGATAGAAGAGAAAAGACGCTTTAGTGACAATGTGGAAAACGCATCAAAACCCAGATGTCAGGAAATCCAGGACCGGAAGTCTTTGTCACCCAGACCTCAGAGAGGGGGCTAATGGCCGGGATTTACAAATACTGCAAACTTCAGCCCCAGATGAAACAAAACTGCCCATCAACAAATGGGCCAACGAAACAGTCTCCAAAGAAGAAACGTAAATGGCCAGCCAGTGCTTTCAAAGGCGGTCACCTACCTAGTCTTCAGAGAAATGCAAAGCAGAGGGGCTTTGAGAGCCGCCTCACCTCAGCAGAGTTGGGACACTATGCTAGGTACAGCGCCATGCCCCTGTAGCCCTAGCTCTTTAGGGGCTGAGGCAGAGGGATCACGTGTTTAAGGCTGCCCTTGGTTACAAGACTGGGACCCTGGCCCCCAAAACAAGGAATGGGGGTGACATTCAGCAGTAGGACATTTGCCCATAATGCGCAAGGCTACGGTCCCATCTCAGCTCCAACCCTTCGTGTGCAAAAAGAAAAAACCTTAGAGTATAATTATTACAGAACACAGAAAGCCACAGATCCAACCAGTAAATTCAAAAGCAATTTCTTTGAAACACAAAACACTGATAAAACACATAGAGTGATGCCTAATAAAATCAAGAGAACAAATAGATAAAATGAAATTAAGTCCTAAGAACTGATATAACCATGGAAACCAAACAAATCAAATCAGTGTACTCTGTCCAGCACTGTAAAAACAGGATTTCAAACACATAGATAGGAATGCTTTCTGTGTTCTAGGACTGAGAAGGTCAGTATGGTGGCCACATGTAGAAAAGCAAGCTCTTAAAACATGCCTGCTTTAAAGTGAGATGCATTGTATGTGCAAAATGCCCAATTCCGATGCAAAAAAAAGTTTCGTTAAATTCATTTGTGTGTGTGTGTGTGTGTGCATGAGTGTGTTATGTTGTGTGTGTATGGCTTATGTAAAGAGAAGCCTTCCCGCCAGCCTGGTTCTAGATCCGCATCAGTCCCAAATAAACACACAGGAGGCTATATTAATTATGAAGCTGTTGGCCTTGCTTGTTTCTTACTGGATAGCTCTGACTTAAGTATTTATCCCATAATTGATAATCTAAGTATTTCTCTTACCGGAGAACTTTCCAGGCTTCTTATCCCTATGGCAGTTACATCTTGACTCCCTGTGTTTCTCCTACCCAGAGTTCTCTTGACTCCTAGTCCCACCTATCTTAGTTCCCTATTGGCCAATAGTACTTTATTGACATATACACAGGACTTCCCCCATCAGGTTTATGTATACATGTGTGTCCAGATGTGAGTGTTATGTTGTGTGTGGTTTATGTATAAATGTGTATGCAGATGTGTGTGCATGTGAGTGTCATATTGTGCATGTATGGTTTATGTATACATGTGTGTCCTGGTGTGTGTGCATGCAAGGGTTATGTTGTGTGTGTGTTTTATGTATACATGTGTGTCCAGATGTGAGTGTTATGGTGGGTGTGGTTTATGTATACATGTATGTCCAGATGTATGTGCATGAGAGTGTTAAGTTGTGTGTGTGTGGTTTAGGTATACATGTGTGTCCGGGTGTGTGTGTGTGTGTGTGTGTGTGTGTGTGTGTGTGTGTGTTTGTGTGTGTGTGAGGAGTTCAGAGGAAGACGATGAGTCCCCTTCTCTATGAGTCTCCTCCACCTTATTCCGCTGAGCCAGGGTCTCCCACTGAACCTGGAGCTACGCTAGTGGCCAGCAAAGCCCCCATGATTTCCCTGTCTCCACCCCCACAGTGCGGGGTTGGAGGTGCATGAAGCCTTACAGATGTTTTGTGGGTGTAATAAAATTAAGATAACTCAGCCAGGAAAGGGGTGCTGAGTGACGGACTTCAGGACATTTTTCATTTTTTTTATGCTAAAGAAAACCATTTCCATATGGAAGCATAGAACTTCAGGAAGGAATAAAAAGGAGTGGAAAAAACAATGCATGGCTGAAAAAATTAAAAAAATATTTCTGTCTGAAGCAGAAGTTACAGGCTATATGACAAATGCATAAACAAAAACTACACTATGACAGCAACATTCCAAAATGTTGGGAGAGAATACATCAATGGGAACTGTCACATTATTAATTAAAAGTTAAGAGCAACTATTTGAACTAGGTTAATAATCCAGGGATACATAACAAAATTAGGACAATTGCACAAAAAAGCGTAATTTAAATTTACATAAATGAGAAAATGAAACATGAAATCGTGTGATTTAGCCTTGACCAAGATGGACGGTTTCATCTGTCTTCCTTTAATTCTGTTGATTTGTATTCTGAAATTAAGTTATTGCGTGCAAACGAGTTTCAGACTCTTCAGTCTTTTATTGCATTGATCATTTATATAATAGAAAATTTCATTTTCTCTTTAATAACATGCCTTGCCAAACATGCCGGATTTTATTAAGAAATTTGTACATGCGCGCCATGTGTTTTGATCCAGTCTACTTCCCATTCCCTCCACTCCAATTCTTCCCCCGTCCCTCCTCCGCTATTTCCTGCCAACTCCATGCATTTGTTTTCTGCTCAGTGCTGCCAGTGTGTGTGTGGGCATAGGGTCCTGTACTGGAGCATGGAGGAGACACATTCCTTAAGAACTACGCTCTCCCTTTCCCATTAGCAACCACATGACAGTGGTTCTTCAGCTGTGTGTGTGTGTATGTGTGCGTGCGTGTGTGTGTGTGTGTGTGTGTGTGTGTGTGTGTGTGTGTGTGTGTGTGAGACACTGCATGACCATCTCCCTGATGCCTGCTGGAATTCTGTCTGGTATCACCTCACGTGGCTTTTGCGCATGCTGTTACTAGCACTGAGCATGTGTATGTGCAACTAATTGCCCAGTTTCCCTGCAGCCCCTGATTCTCTGCGCGTTGACCGCTTGTGGGTCTCTGCCCTAATTACCATCGGTTTCTGATCTGACAAATAAAGCTCGCCTGAAGATCAGAGTGCAAAGCTAGCCACAGTAGCCAGCCAGAGAGGCCAGGCAGTGGTGGTACACAGCTTTAATACCAGCAGCCACACTAGTTAGCCATAGAGGCCGGCTGGTGGTGGTGTACAGCTTGAATACCAGCATTAGAGAGGAATATAAGACTGGAAGGAGTCAGTAAGTCTGCAGTCACACTGAGGACAGGATCGCCCCTTTTGGTCTGAGCCACAGGGTGGTCATTATTGTAGCTCCCGGGGCTTATGGCTGCATAGAACTAATGCTTACTTTTTCCTTCAGTGGTGTGCATAGCGCCCTCCAACACTGTGACAGCTAGACAGTAGGGATGAGGCTTCCGGGTCAGTAGCAACATGACTTCTCCGTGTTCCATGACTCAAGTGTGTGGTGGCTTCAGCAATAGCCTCACCATCAGGTTCTGGAGAGTGAACAAGAGCAATAGCAACAGCCTGGAGTGTCTGGTGGCTTATGGGACCTCACTGGCCATTTCTGTCACTGGGGTTTTCATCTGGTTAGCCTATGGTGTCTAGAGAGCGCTGCCTCCACAGAGACACGCTCTGCAGTCGCCGGCTTCCACGCGGCTTTCTCTAGGATGTTAGCTGTCCTTACCCACGCTTCCCCTCCCCTAACCTCCCATCCACACTCCCACCCGCGCTCCATCTCTCCTCCCCCGAAAGACGCTCCCCATGGCTCCCTAAGATCTTCCCACCTCCACGAGCACTGCAACTTAAATACGAGTATCCGAAGACTCGGAGCTAGCAGAGGACACATGAGAGAGGACGCACGTTTGTCTTTCTGTGTCTAAGCCACCGCACCCTGACGATTTCCAGTTCACCTGCCCATCTGCAGGTTTCAAATCCCAGTTTTCCTTAATGGCTGAGTAGTGTTGCATTGCGTAAAGGCAATACATTTTCATTAACCATTCATCAGCTGATGGGTGCCTACGCTGTTTGAACAGAGCAGCAGTGAACACAGGTATGAGGGCGTCTCTGTAGGAGAGTGTGTACATATATATATATATATTATAATATATATGTGTGTATATATATATATATATATATCCTTTGGGTATATGCTTTAAGGCGGTTAGCTAGATCATGTAGACTGATTAGATTTACTATCTCTGACTTCCATAATGGTTGTACCATTACACTCCCACCAGCAGAGAATAAATGCATCCCTTTTCCCATTTCCATTTATTTGTTTTAAATCTCAGCCATTCTGACTGGAGTGAAGTGAAATCTTAAAGTAGTTTTAGTTTGCATTTCCCTAGTGGCCAAGGACATTTCAAATTTTAAAGGGTATTTATTAGCTCTTTGTATTTCTTGTTTGGAGAGTTCCATGTTTCAGTACTTGTTTTCTTGATGTTCAGATGTTTTTCAGTCGTTCGTATTTCCTAGACATTAACCCTCTGACAGATGTGCGGCTGATAAAGGTTTTCCCATTCTGTAGGCTGCCTGGGTTTGCTGTACAAAAAATTTTAGTTTCATGAGGCTCCATTTACGGGGTGCTGGTCTTCATGCTGGCGCCACCAGGGTGATGCTCAGAAAGTCCTTCCTTGTGCCAATAAACTGATGGGCATTGCGTTCCCTACTTTCTCCTCTGTCACACTCAGGGTATCAGGTCTTATTTTGAGGTCCCTGATGCATCTGGAGTTGAGCTTTCCGCGGGGTGAGAGATGCAGATCTAGTTTCGCTCTTCCTACGTGTAGCTGAGCAGCACTATTTAGTGAAGACACTCTACTCCTCCTAATGTATATTTGCCCTTTGTAAAACAATCAGGTGGCTGTAGGAAGGCACACATATATCTAGGTTATTAATCATGTTGTACTTACTGTACTGATCACTGTATCTGTTTTTATGCCATTACCATGAAGATTTGTTACTATGCCAGTACCATGCAGTACTCTGTAGTGTAACTTGAAGTTCGAGAGAAACCACCAGCAGTTTTTTAAATTGCTCAAGATTTTTTGGGCTATCCTAGGCCCTTTCATGTTTCCATAGGAAATTTTAATTTTCTTTTCCATTTCTATGAAGGCACACTTCCAAGTCCCTTTTAGAAAAGCATTATTGTTCTGATACCAAAACAGAAAGACCCCAAAAGAAAGTAAAATTATAGAAAATCTCTCTTATGAACACAGATGCAAAAGTTCTCAATAAAATACTTGCACACTGAATTCAAGAACACAATCCTTCACAGAATGACTCACCCAAGTTAAATCAAAATGAATTAAATAACTTATATAGACCCATGGCATCCACTAAAGGAACAATTAAAAGGTCTCCTGAGTACCGAAGTCCCAGTTCCTGATGGATTCGGTGCAGAATTTTACCAGACCTTCAAGTGTCACCACTTCTCAGACTATTCTTCAAGGTAGAGAAGGGAGAGACATTTTAAATACAGTCTCCAAAACAATACAGAGAAACCCTGTCTCGTAAAACCAAAAAAAAAAAAAAAAAAAGAAGCCCTTGGAGATAAGACCCACCCTAGCATTACAGGAATTGGACACACACACACACACACACACACACACACACACACACAGAGGGAGGGAGAGAGAGAGAGAGAGAGAGAGAGAGAGAGAGAGAGAGAGAGAGAGAGAGAGAGCATTCATCCCTATCTGCTTCCTGTCTGTAAATGCAGTGTGACTAGCCATGTCACATTCCTGTCACCGTGACTTCTACACCATGATAGACCACATCTGTTCAAACATGAACCAAAACAAACCCTCCTTCCTTTACATTGCTTGTTGTTGGGTATTTAGTCACAGCAACAAGAAAAGTTAATCCAGTGGGTACATGACGAAATGAGAATGAGTCATATTGCAAGTATAATTTCCTCAGTATATAAAGAACTCCTGCAGATTATAAAAATAAGACAAAAGATGAGCAAACCCATAGAAAAATAGGCACAAATACCAGGCAGGCTGTAGACCTACATATGGTTCTTTTTTATAAGAATTTTAATTTTTTATTATTTTTGATGATTAAAAAATAAGTTTAATTACTTATTTTACATCCTGTCCTCAGGTTTTTCTCCCTCCTCTCCTTCTAGTCCCCACTCCCAAAAAATCACTAAAAAAGTAATGACAAAATAAAATTAAATTTAAAAGAAGAACCAAAACAGACAGGTGGATCAATGGAAATGAATCAAAGACTCAGACATAAATCCACACAGCTAGTAATATCTAATTTTTGACAAAGAAGCCAAAAATATACACTGGAAAAAAGAAAGCATCTTCAACAAATGGTGCTGGCATGTAGAAGATTGCAAATAGACCTGTATCTATCACTCTGCACAAAACTCAAGTCTAAGTGGATCAAAGACCTCAACATAAATCCAGATACTCTGGACCTGATTAGCAGAGAAAGTGGGAAATAATCTTGAACTCATTGGCACAGGAAATAACTTCCTAAACAGAGTGACAATAGCACAGGCACTAAGATTGACAATCAATAATGGAATCTCAAGAAACTGAAAAGTTTCTGTAAGGCAAAGGACACCACCAATAGGGCAAAACAGCAGCCTACAGAATGGGAAAAGGTCTTCACCAACCCCACATCTGACAGAGGGCTGATCTCCAAAACACATAAAGAATTCAAGAAACTAGACATCAAAATCCAAATAATCTAATTTAAAAATGGGGAACAGATCTAAACAGAGAATTCTCAATAGAAGAATCTCGAATGGCCAAGAAATGCTTAAGGAGATGCTCAAAATCCTTAGTCATCAGGAAAATGCGAATCAAAACTACTCTGAGATTCCATCTTACATCTGTCAGGATAGCCAACATCAAAAACACAAGTGACAGCTCATGCTGGAGAGGATGTGGAGTAAGGGGAACACTCCTCCACTGCTGGTAGGAGTGCAGACTTGTACAGTCACTTTGGAAATCAGTATGGCAGTTCTCAGAAAACTGGAAATCAATCTCCTACAAAGACACAAGACCCAGCTATACCACTCTTGGGCATGTACTCATACCACAAGGACACTTGCTCATCTATGCTCATAGCAGCTTTATTTGTAATAGCCAAACCTGGAAACAACCTAGATGTCCCTCAGCCAAGGAATGTATAAAGAAAATGTGGTTCAATGGAGTATCACTCAGCTGTTAAAAACAAGGACACCAGGAAATTTGAAAGCAAATGGATGAAACTCAAAAAAAAATCTTCTTGAGTGAGGTAACCCAGACCAGAACAAGAAAGACAAGCATGTTATGTTTTCATTCATAAGTGGATATTACATGTAAAAAAAAGGATAACTATGCTATAATCCACAAACACAGGGAGACTAGGTAATAAGTAGGGTACATGGAGGGACACCCGGATCTCCCTGGGAAGAGAAAACAGAAGAGATTTCTTGAGTGGACTGAGGGCAGGCGGGGATGGGAACATGAGCGATCAGGTTGTGGGGTGATCAGGTTGTGGGGAGGTGGGGTACTGAAAAAGACCACTGGAAAGGGACTCTCCCAGGAATCTATAAGAAGGTCCCAGCAATAGTGAATATGTAGCCTGAACTGGCCATCTTCTGTGGCCAGATTGGTATCTAGTCCAATTGTCATCAGAGAGGTTTCATCCAGCAACTGATGGAGACAGATGCAGACCCACAGCCAAACATTAGGTGCAGTTCAGAGAATCCTGCAGAAGATGTGGAGAAAGGATTGTAGGAGCCAGAAGGATCAAGGACACCACAAGAAAACCCACATAGTCAACTAACCTGGAGCTCACAGAGACTAAACTGACACCAGGGAGCCTGCATGGGACTGATCTAGGAAACCTGCATATATGTGACAGTTGCATAGCTTGGTGTACATACACATGGCTCTTAAACATAGGAAAACATACTCAATGCCAATCATTTAAAAAGTGTGTAAACTATACATATACGATTTTTACAAAAATATCAGAAATGGTAAAATTCCACAAATTTGAAAAGCACCCCTTTTATCTTGTGTGGAATTGAGATACTCTCTCATACATTGTTACCATGGACCTGATTGGGCATCTCCTGCAGAGGTACTCTCTCATACATTGTTACCAAGGACCTGATTGGGCATCTCCTGCAGAGGTACTCTCTCATACATTGTTACCAAGGACCTGATTGGGCATCTCCTGCAGAGGTACTCTCTCATACATTGTTACCAAGGACCTGATTGGGCATCTCCTGCAGCGACACCTTCTCATACATTGTTACCAAATACATGTTATAAAAGATCCCTCAAAACATCAGCCTCTCCAGGGTGACTAGGAAAAGGGCAGGTGTAGTTATGAAAGCCTTTTCCTTCCCTTGTGTGATGCACAGCTTTGGACTTGAACCCTATGATCCACTGATCCACTTATTCAAGAGTTAGATAAATCAACCTTCAGCCTCGGGAAGCAATTAAAGAGCCCTATCTGCTCACACTGCCTCCCTCATCCCGGGAGCAGCCTGGCTTCTCCTCTGTCACAGAATGAACACACATCCTCTTGTTTTCACATGGCCTCAGGTGGGCATAGCAAATCCCTGCAGGCCACAGGACTTGCTCAGGCCTGTCTGCTGAAGTCAAAGGTTATTTTAGAACCTGTAGTCCAGGAATAGGAGGGAGCCCCTGATCCCTAAGATGAAAAGGCAATGCTCAGAGGCAGCCTGTGGGGGGATGTCTCCCATTGCATGTTCCCCAGAAGGCCTAGGAGGCCCAGGACTCGGAAGCCAAGCTTTATGGGAATTTCAAATTGACTTCTAGTTCCCTATCCCTGAACACCTGACCAAGGAAAGCTAGAAACCTTTGCAAAGGAAGCTGGCGTCTGAAGCAGGCAGTAGCTGTCTTCAGGCCCTAGCCCCAGGCTCTTAACTAGCCCAGGATAGGCGTGAAGTCTGAATACTGGAGTCTGTTTTTGGTTTTGTTTTGACTTCCCCCAGGGAAGGCACTCTGTAATGCAAGCAGCAGGCTTGTTTACATCCTAAACAGGCCTTCTGATGACCCTGTGGCTACAGAGACGGACATAGCAACTCACGCTTTGAGCAGGCAACTGGGACAACACTGGCCACAGGCCACTCTGGGTCTCTCCGGGTTCCAGCGGAGAAGGGGAGAAGGATTTATTTCACCAGAATATGCTTCCTCTGCCTGAGTCACTGCCTGCCGGCAGATAACCACGGAACATCTACAGTCCCAGCTCAACCTGCAGCATCCCAGATGCTCACAAGCTCCAGGGTTCACTCTGCCTTCAAGGCTCCTCCCCAAAGAGAGGCAAGTGATGGTAGAATAATGCCTGGTCCCTAATTGCTTTTGGCCTCCTTGAAGCCTCTGCTTCACAGCTCCCCGTTCTCAGATCCCCCAGGACAGCTCAACCTTCCTAACGCCGAGGCCCTTTAACACAGTTCTTCATGCTGCGGTGACCCCAGACGGTAAATCTGATTTCATTTGCTACTTCATAGCTGCAATTTTGCTACTAGTGTGGATCTTAATGTAAATATCTGATATGCAAACCCTGGAAGCCATAACAAGTCTCTCAGAGCGGAAGCACTGGCAGTCCTGACAAGCTAGGCTTCAGCCACGCACCCCACTTCAATAGGCCAATTAAGAACACAGTTAATAGGCAGGAAACCTATGAACAGCAAAATGAAAGGGAAAGAAAGGAGACTTGGTGTGGCCACATGGGGAGAGGAGCACACAGAGAAGTCCAGCGACAACCCTAAAGCCACATCTTTGTGTCAACACCAAGTCTAAGTTCAAATAGAGGTCAAGGGACTGGAGGGATGGCTCAGTGGTTAGGATCACTGGCCTCTTTTGCAGAGGACCCCCATTCAATTCCAGATGATCCAATGCCTTCTTCTGGCCTCAGAGGACATGGGGCATGCATGTGCTACACGTACATACAAGCAGACAAAACACACATGTGAAAGTAAATACTCCTTTAAAGTAGAGGTGGAGAGGTATCTTTAACAAAGAAGTCCTGGCCAACGTGTGGTCCTCCCCGTCCCGATCATTCCCAAAGATCTTTTGCAGAGTGGTGACAATCTGTCCCAGCTGTCAGGAATGTCTTCTGGACAAAAGCTCCTCTTTGGCTGGCCAGCACTAGGACTCAAATTTTTCCTTCTCCAAGGAGAAGCTCCGTCTTTGGGGTCCATTGTCTCCATAGTCTGACCACCAAAGCAAAGGTCCTGGTGTCTTTTTGGTATATGTTCACTCCAGGACCATCGCACTTATTCCTCCCCAAGCTCAAATGGGATCCGGAGTAGACACCCTTGCCACCCAGCTCAGAAGTTCTGCTGTGGACCGAGGCTTAGTAACAGTGGCTGCCAACTCCATCTTTACCTTCCTTTGATCTTCTCAGTAAACAGCGGACTTCCGTGTAGAAATGCCACCGTGCATGGAGACAAACCCTCCTGAGGATGAACCTGGAGCACAACGCACCTGTCCTGACCCGTCCAGCCATTCTTGGGATCCTGAGAACCCCTCCAGAATGAGACTTTAGGACCCACTCTCAGACTCTGGAGGTGGGGGAAATTTATGACCAGCTTTTAGCAGAGCAGATGGGAGGATGATTGGGTTCATTTTTCTAGGTTTTATGGCTGCCTGGGGGGGGGGTTCTAGTTTCTCTGTTGCCATGGAGAGGAGAGGGGACAGAGGAAAAGGAACAGCAGGTTTGGAGGGCTGAGGCTGCCCGTGCTGTTTGACATCACCGCCCTGAGCCTGCTGGAGCACCTGCCTTTGTCCTAGGCTTGAAATGATATTCTGAGCCTGGGTCCCTACCTCGGGGCTTTGGGGTTGTCTATGGATATGTATGTTTCTCCTCTGCGCATGCGTTCTTCCTGAGGCGGTTCACTTTGCTCCAGGAAACAACACCTGTGTCGTTTCCTCCTTGTTTTTCTCTCCCAGTTCCTATATTGGTGTCTGTCATTGTCCTCTGTCCTTCTAGCCCCTTCCAGAAAGAAACCCCTGCTCTTCCCTTTTGGGCAGCAGCACCTGGAACAAGGGTTCCTGCTTTCCGGGTTGGCTCCAGGTTTGAAGGGAAGAAACAGGTCCCGGGCCCCGGGAATGGTTGATATAATCCATGCGTGCCTTAGGGGTCTGTCACCTCCCCTTCCTCCCACGGGCAGACCACCCCCCCAGTCTCGTCCTGCGCCCATCCCACCCTCGCTCTGCTCAGGACAAACCAGCATGTCCCTTCTCAGTGGCTCTGGAATTTTCCGTGCCTGTCTGAATCACAACACCGCCTCCCTGGGTCAGTGTAACTTGTGTGGGACTCTTAATTGTTATCTTTGCAATTCGATCCTTCTTTCTAGACCCCATGGTTGTCCCAGGGTTGGCGGATCAAAGAAGACACCCTGTCCTTTATCCCCACTACATACACCGAGGTGCCAAGTCCCACCCAGGATTTGGGGGGGGGTAGGGTGGGGAGCAATCTCAAGCAGGATTTATAGCTTAAGCGGACAAGGAGAGAATCAGAGTTTGTCACATATGCAAGGAAAGCCACCATCAACCCTCCCACCCACTCCACAGTGACACACACCGCCGGTTTCTCGTGGATTTTTGCGTGTATAAAGCTGCTGTCGCAGACCTGGAGGGGCAGCGCAGTTTGGGTCCTAAATCAACAACAATCAGGCCAGGCTGGGCGGGAGCCGGGCGATAGCAGCGCTCAGCGCCTCCAGGGGCTGCGGCGAGCGCTTGGAATTTTCCACCGGTGGGCAGAACCGCAGAGCCGCGTCCCATTGGCAGAGCGCGGTGGCGTCGCCGCGCGCGAGCGTGTGCAGAGGTGAGCTCAACCAGCCATGCACAGTGGGCTCTGCAGAGGCTCTGACCCACCGGGTGGGCGGGGTCCGCAGGGAGGGAGGGAATGGGGTGGCAGGTCCTCAGCCACCGCTCTCTGCAACCAGAAGGGGCGGGGGTGGGGTGGGGTGGGCTCCCCTTTGCTCAAACCCCGTCCCCCACCCCTCTGGCCTGACCCCAGGCCCCCTAGTCCCTCTTCCTGGCCTTACTTAGCCCATTAAGCGCGTTGCCATTAATAGATCCCCTTAGGCGGTGACTTTCACGGACCCGGGGATCAAGTCAGTATGGCTGACCCAAGTGGGAACCCATTCCTGGTCCAGAGAAAGGCAGTGAAGGGCGGTGGGAGCAGGAAGTGGTCGTTTTGCTTCTGTCAAACAAGAGAAATCCCTACACACACCGACTGTTAAATACGTGCAAGACGGGAGTCGCCGCCGCGTCCAATCAGCGCGCTCACACAAGGCTTATTTAAGGAATTTGTGTGGGAGCCTGGCCTGCTACAGATTTACAGCAGCCCGTTTACTTTCTCCCCGGGTTGTTCAGTTCACCCCAGTGACTACCCCTGGCTAGCTGGAAATGGTTGCTGGGTGAAGGAATGAAATCCTTGACTACTTTCTTTCTTTCTTTCTTTCTTTCTTTCTTTCTTTCTTTCTTTCTTTCTTTCTTTCTGTCTTTCTGTCTTTTTGTCAGAAGACTATAGATAAATTGTCAGTGGAGATGAACAGAACCACAACATATTCTCCCTCTCACAAAATGATAAGCTTCTGTAATGAGCACACCTGCCCAGAAAGTGTTAAGGGACCTCAGACAGAGATTTACTCAATTCAATGCACCAAGCCACCATTCCCACTTAATAATAAAAAAAAAAAAAGAAATCCTTGACTACTAGGTAAGCGTGAGCCAAATCATTTGTCACGTGACTTTGAACAAATCATGGTTTCTTTGAGCCCTTTGCTCTAATAAACGAGGCTAGTAGGCTGCTCAGAAAGTTAAATGGAGAACTATTCTCTGGCTCAATCTCATCCTTCGGTGCCAGAACTTGGCAGCACTATCTATCTAGTGCAGACCGACCAGAGTTCGCACCCCAAGTGTCCGTGACCGGCAGCTGGGAAAACAAAAGGGCTCCCGTACGTGGAAAGAAGGGGCTCGCTGCTAGGTCACACCATACTGGCTCTGGAAAACGTGCCAGGTGGGAACGGCGTGTGCAGATAGAGGCCACACAGCGACACGCACAGGCTGAGTCAGTCCATAGAGACCAGCACGGCTGAGGGTGCGGAAACTGGGGTACAGGGTGTGTGCGAGCACCTATGGCATGGACCAGAAGGCTGATGGGTGGGGCCCCAGTGTTCTCAGTTACTGCCATGGGGCTCTGTGAAACGCCAGATTTTATGTCAGGTGGAATTCCTCTCAATAAAACAGTTTTATTTTGTATTTATATTTAAATGTTTCTCGTTCACGTGTGTGAGTTTTTTTCTAGGGGGAGCACATGTGAAGTCTGGAGGCGGACATCGGGAACCGTCCTTATTCACTGTTACTCCTCCACTTTGTATGAGGACGCAGGGTCTCTCAACCAAACCCAGGACTCCTGCTATCCAGCTTACCCTGGGGAGCCCCTGCCTCCACCTGCCTGGGCTGGAATTCCAGGTAGACGACCATGAACACCCAGAATCAGTAAGGGTTTCTAGGGACCCGAGCCTGGGTCCTCGAGCTTTCAAGGGCTGCAACAGGTGATCCATCTCCCCAGCACTTAAAATGGTTTTTAAGGAGGCTAGTAACACAAGCAGCTGCCTGAAGACTAATTATAGAGTCACCTATAGAGAGAGGTTAGACCAAGCTAAAAGCCTGGTTCTAATTCCCTCTAGAGTATTTTCTAGCATGGGGGGGATGCTTTTTCCAAAGCTTTCAGCTCGAATTCAGACAATGCCCACTGCTCAGGGCTCTGCTGCAAGTCCCCTGCCCAGGGAAGACAGAGTAAGGGAGAGCTGGGGGCTTCCTGCTGCTCTAACCCAGGGCTCTGCCCTGCTCCCCGGTGCTGGCCATCACCTTCCTGCCGGTCTTCGAGGCTCCATGGAAACCATTGGAAGGTTCAGATGACAGGATTGTGTCTTTAAAATGTTCAACCCAGAATCCTTAGCACAGCTCTAGGACAGGCTATCTGGGCTGGGAGTCAAGCTGCCAGGACTCGTGTGTGTCCTGACTCTGCCATCTTCCACATGGGAGGCAGGGAAGCGGTGGGGAGCAGGGTATCTCAAGCCAAGGCTTTTGCAGGAGTCCATTTTCTTACCTAACCAATGGGGATTGTTGAAAAACCTATTGAGTAAGCCAGTGTGTGTGTATGCTCGCGCGCGTGTGTGTGTGTGTGTGTGTGTGTGTGTGTGTGTGTGTGCGCGCCCGTGGTGGAACCCATGCTCAGCAAGCTGCCATAGAAGAGGAGACACGTGATCAACAGACGTGGAGGGGCTGTGCTCTCCTGTGGGATACTGGGGTGATGAAGAGAAAGGTCACTGAGCGCCTTCAAAGTACAATGAAGCTGCTTAGACGTGATGTAAAGCCATGCAGACCTCTGTGTGGCAGGCAGGGACAGGGAAACCCTGGCTCAGAGGTCAGTGACGGGAAGGACACGTGGTTTGAAGGAATGGCCTGAATACCTGAATATAGAGCAAGCAGGAGCTATCCCTCAGGCCACCATCCCAAGATATGAGTGACTCAAAACTGGGGGGTGATACTGACATTTGTGATCTCCCACAAGGCGCACAGAGCATTCTATTCTGGCCGTGGAAAGCTCTGTCCCGTGTAATGGGAAGCCCTCAAGGTTTGTATCTGTGGTGCCAAGGGGGTGCCGTCCTTAGAAGCCAACATCCCAGAAAAAAAAAGGAATGGTTAGCAGGGAGAACACTGCCAGCCTTCAGATTCTGCAGTCTTCCAAACACACGCGCAGTCTGCCCACTGCAGACTGGTTCCTGTATCCTAGGATACCAAAAGACACAACACTCACGTTCCTTATAGAAAGTGGCATGGTCTTTGCATAGAACCTGTCACATCTTCCCACATACTTCAGAGCTGAATCTGTGTGTCTGTGTGTGTGTGTGTGCGGATACCCACTGAGGCCGGAGATCCCTTGGAGCTGGAGTTAGAAGCAGTGGTTGAGCCACCTGACAGGGGCGCCTGGAACTGAACACTGGTCCTCTGCAAGAGCAGCTCTCTCTCAACTGCTGAGCCATTTCTCCAGCCCCTCTACCTGAAATGCTTTATGTGTGTGGTATATTACTGCCCCCTCCTCCCATCACAGACATAGACAAAACACTTCACGCTGGATGGCAGAAGCTCGGAGTGAAATGTGCTGAGTGAGTGAGTGTATTCAAAGGTCAGGACCAGAACCAACCTCAGGGGTGTCGTCCTTCCCACGTAGTAATAGACGCATATTGTAGAAATGTTTAACTGTATTTGAAAAGCAACAGGAGAATTTTAAGAACGGCAATCTGGCCATTCGGGAATTTGAAGTTCTGGCTTCACACTTTAATATATACAACTACAGGTGTCCAGCGTGCACCTCTGGAGGGGTCATAGGTTCCTGTGTCCCAGTAAAGGACTTAGAAACACGAGGATAACAGCAAGCTCACCGAGGGGACTTGTTAGGAAGGAATGCATTCCCAAGGGAGGAAGTCAGAGGGACAAAGAGAAGGGTAGAAGTCTAGATGAGCATTTCTCTGGTGACTAAGCATGCTGAACAATTTTAAAAATGGTTGTTGGCTGTTTGTATCTCTTCTTCTTCAAACTGCCTGTCAGTTCGTTGACTGGCAATTTTGTTGTTTAAATTTTGCAATGCTTTACATAGTCTGGATATTAAGCTAATTGTTCTCTCTCATATCTAAGCTTCTTAGACGGGAGTAAGTATGGACAGAAGCCGGGGAACTGAGTCCATGAAGCAGAAGCACTAGGCTGTGGTGGAAGAGGAGTATGGAGGCCACAGAGCATCTTCGAGGGGACACCAACTGTAGGATCTGACTGTCACTTGAAGGTAGCCACGGCTGCTCTGGGTGAGATGGAAATGGCTGATGTTCTCCAAGGCCAGCATTTCCTAACACCTGAAGACTTTATACTTACATTCGGCATTTTAATAGAAAAGTGACATTTGCTCCCTACAGTTTGATGAGTGAGCCCTTTGCTTTAACAAAATCACATGAGTGTGGGTTTTTGTCTTTTGTGTGTGTGTGTGTGTGTGTGTGTGTGTGTACCAAGAGACAATTATAAGAGAAACATTTTCAAACCATTACTACAGCTGCACCAAATTCTTGGGCCTGTGAAGGGGTTGGGGCATCCCCCACAGAAACAAATAAAATTACAGAGCGGGAAAGATGAGGAGTCATTATTGTCACTGTCTAGATACCCCAGGACAGCTCTGGGGTGACTGTGCTGCCTGCCAGGGGCACACGGAAGGGGGGGCTGCCCTCTATGAGACACAATTGGAAACCACATGATTTTTTAATGCTGTATAGTGTTTCTATAAGTGATGATTTATTGATAACCAAGCCTTGTTTTTGGACATCTGAGTTGCATATGGGCCAGGAACAGTGTTCAGCTACAAATATCAAGTCCCTAAAAGACGGAGACTTCAACAAATGAAGATTTTCCTTCTCTGCTATGAGGAAATGCATGGAAGGATGCAGGGTCAAACAGATGCTGTGCCGAATCTTCCCTAAAGTGTTTCCTAGTGTGGTCTCCCTGTTTCCTTCTGTGGGCATCTCTTTGCCAAGCCCCAACTGCCAAGAATTCAGAAAACACGTTTCACCCCCTCCCACTGTGAACCTGAGCTTCTCTGAGTAAAAGGGGAAAGATTAGGAAGCGCCAACCGATTGCCATGGAAACCCTTTCCCCAAAGCTTCCCGCATCCTAAGATTGCCCCAGCATCAAACCATCGGGAGGAAACCGAACCTCCGGACAGCTAGCATCCCTGTAAAAATGCACTGGTTTTCACTCTCATCTGCAGTGTCCAATGCTAGAGGGCCTACAACACACACATTGCCACGGTGGCTTCTTGTCTTCAGACGCTGCTGACTGAAAAAGCAAATTTTTCGTGATTGTCTTTAATGGTTTAAAAACGTTTGATTCACGGCAGTGTGGTGTGTGCGCCTTGAAGCCATGCTGAGATCCTATCAAGATCCAGGCTCTGGTGCCACAGTCATGGATGAAAAGTTCTCGGATGGCACGGGAGCTGAAGGCCCACAGGCCGGATGGAGCCATCTCTGGGCAGCCCGTCACCCGTGAACCCTCTTTATGTCACAGGCACAGGTCAGAGTCCAGGGGCTCTGGCTGAGGCTCCCGGCATTTTGTGTCCCAGGACAGAAAACAATTGGGCCAGGAATAGTGGCAGAAATAGAGACATTTACCAAGAAAGAAAAAGACACTCTGGGAATGGATGTAGGCCAGAGATCTGGGGGTGTCACAGCTCCAGGGCCCTGGCCACGAGCGTCCTGATTCTTTATAGGCATTACATAGTAGTGCACGTGGAGCCTCAGGTGATTGTCATTAGTTTTGAGCATGTTTCATTCTGCTACACACAGCCCACAGCCAGAGTGATTTCTAGTCTTCCTTTGCCCTGGTTTCTTTCATGCTTTTCTTGAGGACTCTGGAACCTCCATTGCCACCCTGTCCTCCTACCTCATTTTCTACATGTCTTGCTTCCTCTGCGGCTGCTGGCGTCTTCTCCTGACTCTGCTTTCTTTCTCCCTGTGTCTCTGCTTGGATTTCCCACCTGGCTATATTCTGCCCTGCCATGGGCCACAGCAGCTTGGCCTATCAACCAATAAAAAGCCACACACAGTCACAGTATACAGAAGAACATCCCACATCACATGGGCTTAACCTATGGTAACTGTTTAACAGAGCTGGCAACAATGACGGCCTATCCCCCGGGGGCATAATTGGTCAGGTGTGGCTCTTTGTTCATACCTGCAAATGTCACAGAGTCAACTACAGACATAGCCAGTTCAGTGGCTTCCAACCTTGGCTGCATCTTTGAGGCCCCTGTGTGGGAAGATCTCTGGGGTTCTGTGTAAACCCCATGCCCCCTGGTGACTCCACGCTGTGAAAAGCACCTGACCACTAAGGGATGGCATCCGACACTGCTGATACCGAGGCCTGGGGGCGGGGGAGACAACCTCAGTTACAAGGCAGGGAATAGGAGCCCTGCTTGCCCCTCAGCAAGTAATTAAGCCCATATTGATATCCATCTCAGAGGCCAGAGGGAATGAATGGGGTTCTAGGATCAATTTCTCTCCCCAGAGCAAATGTCTTTCTGAACTCCATTTTCCTCCTCAACCCCAAGTCCATTGTGCAGCATGTAAGAGCCAGTCTGGCCTGTAAGTGGACAGAATAAAGATAAAGCCACGTCTTGTTCAACCCTGCTTGCAAAAGCTCACTCAGCCAATGGCGACGGAAGAATGAGGCTTTAATGCGTGGCCATTAGACAGGGCACACGCTCCCGGCTTCGGGCAGATGGCATCGAGACCTGCTTTTAAAAGGAGAGGCGGTGTTTTCTTTGTTCTTGCTCACAAGTGACTAGTTCACGATGGGCAGCCCCAAGACCAGCCCTTTGAAGATGACATTATTCTGAGATTAAGGGGCTGGAAGAGGTAGAATTTTGCCTTCCAAGGACCTGATCATTAGACATGCGAACATGGATGGAAGCAGCACTATATTCTACACGTGTGTCCAGTCACTAGATACAGCACCACCACACCCCACAAGTGTGTGATCACCAGATATAGCATCATTGCACTCCACATCATCGTATAATCACTACATATCAATTTAAAACATTCTTAAATAACAAGAACATTTTCAGTCCCTTGAGCAAACTGAATCCCACCCACTGTCAGGAACCTCAACCCCAGTTCTGTCTCTTGTCATAAATAATTCACTCAAACCAAGGGACTCCTGCCTGTAGATGCCACGTCCACCTGCCACTGCACCCATCCCCACAGCATGGGTCCCAGCCTTCCTCTGCCACCGTCGGTTTGTTGGCTCCTGAGGAACGGATGGAAGGTTGCGTGCCTCAAAAGGAAACTTCCCCAAATGCAAACACACCATTCCAGTACGCCATTACTACAGGTCACACGCGTCCCAAGTGGGAGGGTGGAGAATGGAGGAAGATTGAGGGGTTACACACCAATCCTGTGGCTGCTGGAGCTCGCAGAGAACTCCCCCCCCCCCCGTAAGCAGCAGCAAAAGACTCTAGCAGCCTCCGTTCACATCTCTGACCGCGCGATGAGCGCAGCAGAAGATACACAAACATGATTTCACCGGTCTTCCCCTCGCTGCCAAGGAACGCGCCTGTTTAATCAGTGAGGACATGTCATAGATGCAAACACATGACAGGTGTCCCTAGCCTTCCAGAGTGGTGTGTACGTGTGCTTATGTGTGTACATGTGTATGTGCGTAAGGTATATGTGTGTGGTGTGTGCAGGTGTGTAGTGTGTACAGGTGTATTGTGTGAGGGGTATGTAGGTGTGTAGTGTGTACAGGTGTATGTGTGAGGGGTGTGTGTGTGTGTGTAGGTGTGTAGTGTGTACAGGTGTAGGTGTGTGTAGGTGTGTGTGTGTACAGGTGTATTGTGAGGGGTGTGTGTGTGTGTGTGTGTGTGTGTGTGTGTGTGTGTGTGTGTTTGAACTGTTTCTGAGCCCTAAGCCAGGGCTGGCCTTGCAATGAAGACTTGGAAGTAAATGGGTTGAACTTTTGCCTGGAGCAACTTGGACAAGAGTCTTAACACACTGTATGGCCTTGGACTTTACATCAGCCAATAAACATAGTGAGATTTCCTATGTACATATGAAAAGGTGTGTGACGAGGAATGGATTGCCTCGTAAAGCCATGGGGGGGGGCTGACCAGTCTTGAGACTTGCAGGGTAATGTCAGTAGTGAATGTGGGGTCCAGTCAGTACCTGATGGGATTTCCAGGCTCTTCTGTCTCAAAACTAAAAATGAGGCAGAGAAACGCAGAAAGCATCAGTTTGTGAAGAGATAATAACTTCTAGACAGTGGCCGGAGCAACAAGGAGGCTAGGAGCTCAATGGCACCACACCCACAGGGTCGTAACCTTTATAGGTGACTTGCCTATTGCCAACATTCCTCTGTGTTTGTAGACAGTGGGCTGTCCGGCACGTCCTATCTGTTGGCCTCTTCCGGTATTCCTCTCTGCCAGCTGGAATCTTTCACGTGTTAACCTCACAGTCTCTCTTGCAAACATTTTTCTGGGCCTCACATCCTCCCCTGCTCCCCTGCCACCATGAGGCAGACGGCCAGTTGAAAAGATGCCCTGTTGACCCAGACGAGACTAAGCCATCCTGACACCTCAGTGACATATGGGTCCCTCTTCCGAGTCCCATTACAAGGCATGGACGGTGTGAGCCCTGCTCTTCTGGCAGATAAAATGGACCTGAAGGACAGCGTGTGGCTGGGGAAAATTCTAGATGACCTGGTAAAGAAGGCAGTGGCTGAACTCCACAGATGAGGCTGCAGAGACAGCGCAGTGTCTCTCAGACTATGAGATATTTGGGGTTTGGCAAATCCTAAGATGTTGGCTGCCAAGTCCTGCTGCCCCCTCTGTCTCTGCCCTCCCCCCCCCAGTACATTTTGAAGAAATTAAACCCATATGTTTCTAATTTGCTGACATGTAAAGATCTTCCAAAAGTGGTTTTTCAAGACTGGTTTGGACAGAAGGAAGCTACAGGAACCTTAATTATTGTTATTTTTCATTTTGAAACACAGACCTGTGCACTTACATAATACATGCTGTGCCTACAAAATCAGAGCCTGGTTTTATCTTGCTAAAATACTTTGTCCTGGGCCCATCAGACACAGATAGCTGAAGCCATTAGAGGCCAGTTGGAGAAGAGAAACTGTGAAGTCAGCCCCCAGCTGAGAAATCCACCTTGAAAAAGCTCACATCGCCCCTTTGCTCTGTGCTGTGCCTAGGAATCGCCAGCACTGATATCTAAAAGTAAAGCTATATGGATTGGGGTGTAACTCCCGATCTCTTTGTGCCCAGCTTCACAGAAACTCTTGGTAAGGAGACTGTGGATCAAATGGTTCCCTTCTGAACCAGTCTCTCCTGTCCTGCTCTCTCCCGTCTAGGCTTTTTCTT